CACTTCTTTCCCTAGCATTCAAGGCTGCCTTACAAGTTTTGGGGTTTAAACTTGACAGGTCTAGTGCTATCATGTGCATTTACTTCAGGTTATAGTAAGCATAAAACAATACCTGTTAGACTTAAACTATTCTGCATTTTTGCATTCTGCTGTAAAATAAGATATAATATACAGAGGGACTTCACAGGTAATTTAAATTAAAAAAAACCCCAAACACAACAAACCAGCAAAATTGCGCAGCATTAGCTTTCCTTGTGTGCTCTTCTCCTTCACGGATTGATCCCTTTTTTAACTGGAGTTTAGGTGAACTCTTTTTCATGGACAGACTTTTAAAGTTATAAAGTGATCCCAACATAGGAAATAATGCTGAATAGCTGTTTGGGAGTAGATATTCCATGTTTTTCCTCAAGCCCAACAGATAAGCAAGCAAGACTATCATCTAAAATGGGTGAAACCTGAAACTAATATTCTTATGGAACTGTATTCTAGAATTAGTATTCAAGACACATCTCTCTCAAATTTCTCCATTTCCTTTGCTTTTCTTTAAAGTCTGACACTCAATTCTCCTTGGAATGCAGCAGCTTCGGAGGCCATTCTTTTAGGTGTAATTCCAATCATGATGGGCCTACCAGAATTATGACAGATGGGTAAATGCTGCAAATTGGTAGCAATTAAGAAAAACCTGTAATTTGTTTTGCAATAGGTCAACACTGTGAAACAACTGGTGAAAAAGCACATACAACTACTATTTGTTGCAGAAAAATGTAGTAAAGGCATGTAGTAAAGGCATGTTTCTATGAACATGTGCTTTTTCTTTAAATTTTCAATGAACAGTGACTTAAGAACAAATTTAATTTGTTTTAAGAATCAAAATCCCATCTTTCCAGCAAGTATTTTTGGTAACGAGGTTAAATACTGCAAACAAACTCTGAACCTTCGCAGAATATTTTGACCTCATTTCTGTTTAAATAAAGCAAGACTCTTTTATACTGTAATTGGAACATAAAAACCCCCAAAACAATAAAACTGTGTAACATTCTGCTCTTTTCTTTTTTAGGCACAGCAAGGATGAAAGGTGTTTTTTTTTAATTTTCTTGTTTGGGTTCATTTTAAATGATACACATATGTCTCCATAATTCCCATTATCTGAATTGGTCCCCTATGCTGGGATTTTTTATATAATATTAGTAAGGTAATGAAAACATATTTGTCCTTCAGACCTTTACAACCAATGCTATATACACCTCTGTAGTATGCCAGTCTCTGTACGTCTCCCCTTGTTTCTCGATTTCTTCTTTACTCTGATCTTTTTATTCCCTCCAGAAGCAATCTCCTAACCTGCAAAAGTGCTTAATGGACCATCTATTTCATCTTTACCCATCAATTTCTTCTTTCATGCATCCTACTTAAATTCTCAGCTAGGCTTGAAGGCTCATTCTATAAATATTCACATATTCCATTAGAGCACCCCTTCGTTTTAAGTTACACTGGCACATAAACATTTGCAGAATCACATTTTATTCCATCCCTCCTTTCCTCTGCTTAGCTCATCTCTGTGCCCAACAATCTAGTGATGAAGACTACTCAGAACATATCTGAAAAGCCATTTGGTTTCCCCAAGGCTTAAACACTCATTCAATCAAGTCATGTTCTGATTGTAGTGTCTTTGAACTGGCAAAATTTACAACCTTTCCTCAACAAAATCAACATCTTAGCTGATTTTAGGTCTGAGATTGTGATAAACTGCAATTCTGTACAATTTCCCTGAAGCCCTGAAAAGTCCTCTAACATCACAGGTTTTGAAAATGTTGTTAAGACTAGTTTTACTTTTATTTTGCAATGTGTATGCTATGGTAATGTCTGAATACTCACATATCTACTTTAATAATAGATCAAAGTTGAAGAGATTAAATATTAGACACATTGATAATTAATCTTAAGATAAACATATTTGTCTAAAAAAAGATGCCTATGATATTAAATCTCTAACTGAATTAATATCTTAATGTATTAACAGATTCTGTTTGGTATTCAGTTGATAAATTATATTTATTCAGTAGTATTATGTTTATGAGAGCATTTTTTTTCTGTCTAAACTTTTTGCATGGACTTATATACTCTTGCATGATGATTGATGTTTATCATTTTCTAACATTTTTTGATACTTTTGAGGTCCACTCATGTCCTCTCCTTAACACACACCCCAGGTGTGACTCCTAAAACTCTGATAGTTACACTGCTCTGTAACAGTGTGTGGATACTGGGCACTGACTGGATTACTGCATGGCATTTTGCTTTGGCCACTACCTTAGCTTAATATCTTATAGTAAGTAAAACCAAGACGTGGTAAAACGTGTATCAGTACCTGTACTACCTCCTGAACCATTTTGAAGTGGAAATCTTTAATTCTGAATAATGTAACTTTCAAAATGCAATCACTCCCTGTAACACTTCACAGTCCACAACAGTTTAATTCCATGGGAACAAGGATAAACTCTGCCTTTCTGCCAGGGGCAAAACACCTGCTCAAGTTACACAAGTCAGAGCAGTGGGGCTGGTAGTTCACTCAGAATATCTATCTTCTGCATTCTAGAAACCTTTTATTTTTGTGCTTGTTTTCTTGTGATAAACTTTCGAACAATAAAGTACAGACTATATTTTCATTTTCATTTTTGTTCCTTTTTAGTTGTACTTCCAATTTCTATGACAACTCAGTAAAATTCAAGTCTGTATTTTTATGGTATACTAAGTGAATATATAAGTAAAAATACAATAACATTACAAAACCTGTTTATCAACTTGTTCATTTAAACATACCCATTTTAGTTTGCTTTATTTCACCATTAGTATTTGTGTTCTCAACTGTTTGAATACAATTCACCTCCATTCCTTCCAAAGACGACCACAGTTTAAATTCTGTATATTTATATTAAATGCATTTTGGTCAATGGAACAACTTCAGTTTTCAACTAATAAGGTGTAGAATAAGCCATATTTGCATAATTTTTCAATGATTTACAATTGAACTTCCTAGATTGGGAACCACTGCAGAAATATTGTTATCAGATCTGATTATTCTGGGACTCTCTTTATGATTCCTTTTAAATGCTGGGGACATCTCAAAGTTGTATATGTCAGTGCACAAACTCAAATTTGGTTGCATGTAGGTTGGATACACTTCCTGTAATTCTCCAGTTTTATGTCAGAATGATATTCTTTCCAAAGTTCTCCAAAGGCATCGATCAACACGAACAGCTCCCATCAAAGGGAAGGGATGTAAGGAAGATGGAAATCTAAAGGGGGGGGAGGGGGGAAACCATCCCTGAATTGATAGGAAAGACAAAGGAATTAAGCAAACAGAGAACAAGTGAAAGCCAGCCCAGCCTGCATTACCAGTTCACTTCCCCCTCTATGTCCACAAGTGCCAATGATGAGAGATTGGCCAGTGCTATCTCCTCTCACTTGCTGATCTAACCTGGGCTACAGATCCTTGTACCCCTCAGCAATGCCATGTGGTCAGTGAAAAGAGAGGTAGTTGAAAGGACCCAAAGTGTTCAAAGCTGAGAAGTTCTTCCTGCTGGTAGCATAAGGTAAAACTCACAGCACCCAGTCTGGGAAGAACAGGATGAAGCAGCATATACGGAACAAAGAGTGAGCTGACAAATCTGTAAAGGTGGCTGAAAAACAGCATTAAAAACACTTAAATTCTAGGAAGGGGAAGTATTGATGCAGTTTTTTATTCAAGGGACAGGAGCTTGTACATCTCCTTTAAAAACACAAACACAACTTTACAAAGCTTTCTGTGCAAAAAAGAAAGGCTGTGGTTGCTTTTATGAACCCTTCTCCTATTGACAGTCCCAGGTTTTCACAGAATGGTCCATGAACCCACAGACTGATCAGAGATAAAGGATGGATGGAATAAGCCTCTTCAGGAGACAGATGACCTTCTGAGTCATTTCTCACAAGCCAATGAAAGAACAAAGTTTATCTGAAGCACGTAGGAAAAGGTGGACTGGAAGCCATAAACTGCAGAAGGGCTCTCCCCCTGCTCTCTTGATTCAAACTGTAGAGAGGTCTCCCACTGCTGCTGTCCCGATTGCTAAAGAATCTTATGAGAAAACCGAGGACATCATAGCGCATTTTTTTCACGGGGAGAAGGGAAGGGGACGGGAGGGGGAAGGGGCAGTTCAATTTGCATAGTTTGCGTAGGCAAATAAATACTTTCCTTTAACCTTTGCCAAATCTTGTAATTGCTTGGTATTAGTGTTCAAGCTGTAAGTGGAAGTTTTTAAACTAAGATAAACCCTGAGAAATCAACTCTTAAGCTCAGTGACCTCACAACACATCCAAGTTCTGGGAACAACAAAACACGCCCGGGAGGAGGGGCGGGACCGACAGAGGCACAGCCGGAGAACCGATGCTGGCAGCGGGTTGGTAAGGACACACAGTGGCCAGAGTGCCTGAAAGTCAATCTTACAGCGAGCCTCATGGAACCATCTTCCCGTGCCATGACGTCAGTGTTAAATTTCTGGAAGAACGTGAGCGCTTAAAGGGAATCCTATTGCTCCCTCGTCACTAAAGCGCTTACACAACTCGCTTTAATGTCGCCACCGCAAATCACTTTTACTCTCCTGCACGACATCGCTTTCAGGAATAGACACGTGACACAAATACCGCAAACGGCGCTTCACTCTCAGCCCGCCCTCAGCCCCTACCCCGCCCCTCAGCCCGCCAAGCCCCGCCCATGCCCCGCCCATGTCCCTCACTGCGCACGCGCCCCGCCCTGACGACCCCCAGCGCTCCCCCGGGCCGTGACGTCACTCCGCCACCTGCCCTCGACTCGACGCGCCACCCGGAAACGTCCGCCCGGGCACCGCAGCTGGCTGGAGAAAAGTTCCGGGCGGCTTTGGTTCCGGGGGCCGCCCGCATGAGGCGCGGCCGCGGCGATGATCCCGATCCCGGTGGTCGTGTGCGTGCTGGGCGGCTGGTGCGCCGTGTACCTGGCGGACACGCTGCTCAAGGTGAGGGTTGGGGGCGCAGGGCCGGGAGGACGTAGCGGCAGGCCCGTGCCCCGGCCCGCCTTCCCCCCCCTTCCGACACTCCCGGGCGGCCCGCGGGCCCACTCCCCTGAGCGGAGGACCCGCCGCCCCGCTCGGGCTTGCCGCGCTTTCCCGGGCTGCTGAGGGCTTCCTTCCCCCCAGAGGAGCCTCCTCGCCCCAAAGCCGGGCCCAGGGAGGCCGGGCTTTGCTTCCGCCCATCGTTCGGTTGAAAACGCCTCCACGGCAGCTACAGAGGCTTCGGTCCGCGTTAAAGGACCCAGCTTTTAATCTACTGCTTAAACAGTTCTGTGGCCATTTCAGTGTGCTCTCTGGAGTTTAATGTATTAGTAAAAATGCGACCTTAATTTAGAAATTTGCTTTGCAGAGTACGTGTTTTATATGTGTAGAGGATGTGTTTTACAATGATGATTTTTCTAAAAAATGTAAAAATTAATGCATCATTTTTTTAATGTCCGTAGTTTTATTGAAAAAAATAAGTTGAGACAGAGCTCGATGCAAATAACTTTAAAATAAATAAACTTTAATCTTCAAGACTTGTCCTTTTCCTCCTGAGGGAGGAGGGAAAGGCTTGAAGGGAAAATACACCAACAAGACAGTATTCATTTTATCTAGGATGTGTTTGTGCATTGCACAACTTTCATAAAGTGTTGTGGGGTGTTTTTTTAAAGCTCCGGAGGTATGGTTTCTAAGAGATGATTGAAGTTGCAAAGTAGGCTGTATACTGGTTAAATATGAGGGAAAATGAAAAGAAAGGTTTGATCTGGAATTCTCATTCTGAATGTTACGGTCCAGGAGCTGCATCTGTTTCTGCCAAGGCAGAAAGAGCCTAGTGGTATCAAAGTACAAAATATTCATGTTGTCACTCCTGTAAAGTATAGGAAGAAGAAATTTTAGGTGCAGAGAAAACTGAAAAGTAAGTGGCTCCCCCTGCAGCAAATTGGAAAGCAAGTGTAGCTCAGTAAATGATGAGAGCTGTTAATTGCAAAATATCAGTCTGTACATAATGACAATAACAAATACAGTCATCTACCTCAAGATTTTTAAAATTTTATTACAGAAATTCTATATTAGGTATTTGAAAAAAAAAGGTGGCATTGGCCAGGTGCCAGAAGAACATGCTTTGAGACACAGCAGGAAGGTCAGCCAGGAGGCTGCTTTTCTTTTGGCAGCAGCTTTGTGTCTGGTGAAGAATTTAGGGTATAAAGCAAGAACTGTGCTCAGGTAGGACTTGTTGTGCTGAGATGCTGAGACCATTTGCATCTCAGAGTTCTGAAATTTTTTTTCTGCATTAGACCATAAAATCATTCTCTTTTGTAATGAAGGAGTGACACTGTTTTTCTTGTTACAGCCTCTGGTAGAGGGAGGGAAAAAAACCCCACCTGGGGCCAACTTAGTGCCTGATTTATATTGCAAAAAGAAGGGGGAATGCCTGGAATTCTATAGTCAGCGTGAAAGTCCAGGGGGTAAATTTTAACTTTGATCTTTTAACTAAAAGTTGACAAAGGTTATTTAAAGTCAGGAAGTGTGTGGAAGCTGTTGGGTTTTAGTGAACTTGCTGGCAGATCACATGTGTGGGCATCTCAGTGATAAACTTCACTGTGAGCACCATAATCAAAATAGAATTTGGGTTAAATAACCAGATTTATATAATTAGGAAGCTCCAGGTTGCTTGTTTTACTGCTGGTACTGTAAATCTGCCACATTCACAACCTCACAAGGCTGATAGCAACTGTAGCAAAGGTACTTAAACCTCAAATCACTTACAATTTAATTACAGCAAAAGGACATACAGAGCATGAGTGAAAAGTAATACAGGAGCACTTTACCTTGCATGATCTTGTTGATAATTTTATTCTGTGAACTTGTTCCATGTGCAATGCCTTTTCCTCAGTTTCTTCCCTTACTGGTGTTGTTCAGATTTCAATCATTTTATTGGGCAGTCTGCCTTTTAGAAAGACTACAGTATAGGAAGTATAAATGTATTTTTGCACAAATAATTTCACATTGTCATATTGCTAAAGTTACATTATGAGATACATTTGTGTTAGCAAACTAAAGCTATGCTAAATCAAGCTGAATTTGGAGTGTTAAGTCCCTCTTGTTGCTCCTTATTGGAGCACTGTCATCAAAGTTTTCACTGAAGCTTGGATCCTACAAAAGGGAATCAGACAGATCCCTAATTTCTTTCTCCCCAACATCCTAAATTATCATATTTCATTCTGCCTGAAGGATCAGGAATGAGTGAAGGGTAAAAGGTTGTCACTCCTTCTGCTATGAGAAATAAAGGATGCATTAGACACATTGAACCAAGGTTAGCTCTCAGCTTTTAAGGTCAGGAAGCTGAAATGATTCAAAGCTCTTGAACAGATTTTGTCAGCAAAGAAGAATGTTAAGGACTCCTGCTTGCTGGCAGATATTTATGGAGATCCTGGAGTATTTAGCAGACATTCATTATTTTGAAGGTTTGCATAAATAAAAAAGGTATTGCTTTTATAGTAAAATTAGTATAACAAAGAACACTTAGATCTTGACTTGGAGAAGCAGAGAGAGTTTGAAATGAAACACACCAGGGCACGAGGCTGAGTGAGGAATGTGGGGGTCCTACTGTGGTCAGCACAGAGGGAGCAAAAGTTTGCATAGAGCTTTTTAATATATTTTGCAAGGGGATGCAGTCTTTTAGTGATCATAAATACTGCTTACACAACTTGTGAGGAAAATGTGAAACAAAAATTTTTGGCACCTTTTTTTTCCCCCCATTTTCCTCATTGGTCAGTGACTCCATATTTCTCATGGACAACTTCGTACTTATTTATGTCTTGCTACTACAGTGAGCCTGTGATGTTGTTGGAATGAATTCAAAGGGAAGGATTTGTGGCATTTCTAGGGAAAAAAGTGGGGTTTGCATGTGATAAAATGAAAACATTTTCAAGTTCCAAATTAATGTATCTGACTGCCTCTATTATAATAATGTTTTTTGGACTCTATGTGAATGAATAGGATGTGTTTTCTTAATTCCCAAAAGAGAGTTTCTCATATCAGAGGTACTTAATGACATATGTATTTCTGTTTTAATTATCTGGTAGATTATGCAAGGAGGTCTTTGTTTATTTGGCTTATGTAGTACAAGTGTAATCATTTTTGCGGTCTCTTCTATTAAAGTTTAAAAAGCTGGGTTACCAAATGCCGATCTGATTGTGGACACTAAACGTAATGGTGTCACAGGGAGTGAGCAGTGTTGATTAGGGAAAGCATTACAATGAAAATTTCTGTTGGTGCCCTCAGTTGGCTGAACAAAAATGTGGCTGAAATCAATAGGATGAAGAAGAAGGAAGTGACACAGCAATATATAGGCAGAAAGGATAAATGTTGTAGTAGGTGATACATGAACAGTGACCTGGGTAAAGGAATCTCACGTCCTAGGAAATTCGTTGCTTGAAATAAACTTTTAGTGTTCAAGTTTTAATCAATTTGACAAAATGAGAAAAGCTGTTAACATAGTTCTGCAAAATGAGATCCTGACCCCCCACCACCACTGTGGCAGGGCAGGAGGAAAGCAAGAAACCTGGCAAGTTCTAAATTTGTTTAAAGAACCACAACAGCCAGAAACTTGTGAAGTTCCTCTTGGGGGAGGAGAAGGAAGCCTGTTGTGAACTACACATTCCAGATGTCTTCAGTAGGTGCTGCTGCTTGTAGGGAACCCTGGGAACGATGTTCCAGTTCAGACAGCTCCAAGGATTTGTCTGGATTATGTCAGAGACACTTCTGCCTTGGGAACTGCCCAAAGTCAGGAGGCTCAAGCCTCTTGTGTGCTCTTCCTGAGCTATGAGTTCCTCTTTCACCTCTGAGTAAAGCATTCCTTCTGCTGGATTTCTGACAGTAGCTTCCATGAAGCAGGTGACTAAAGTTTGTTGAGAATGCAAGTGTCATATAGTATGAAGTAGCAATTGCAAAACATGTCTATTGCTCTTATAAGAGCAGCTAATACTGCAGGTAAGTATTAATCGTATAGTTTAGAGGTCACATTTCTCATCAAGAGACATCTTTGGAACTACTAGAAGTGTACTGAAATGCTGAGAAGTTACCATAGTGAATCACCATTGCAATACCAGTCGATAATTCCTTGTGGGTTTTTTTTAGCATGATCAAATATTTCAGAGTCTCTGTGTTTGGAAAGTAGACCTCATTTTTACCCTTACTAATGGATATCTGCAATACTGAGCCATATCTCACCAGTATTAGAAACAGTTTTTTTCAGCTGAAGACAAAATAAGTGTTTTCCATTATTGTAGTCTTTAAAATGTTGATTGGAATATAATTGCTCATTCAAAGAATACCATCAACAGTCTTTAGCCTTCTACCTGGACAGTAGAAGTGATTTAACACTGGGAAAGATGACATAAGATCATGTTTGTCAAATAACACTGGATCACTCTCACAAACCTAGAACTGTTACAAATGACATCAAAACAGTGGCATAACTTTTTCATATTATGTGTCATACCTACCTATAGGTCAAAATATAAAGAATGTGTAGGACATTTACCTGAAGGGATACATCTGTTTTTATATTAACAGATCACATTTACTGCTTGGTCACATTACAGAATCTTCCTGGAATTTTTGGTCCAACTGATTTTCCATTGTTTTGCAGTCATCCAGCTCTCTGAAGGCATCATATGAAGACTGGCTGCTGACATATGGCCTGAGCATCTCTCCCTTTCACATGCGATGGCAAACAGCTCTGTTCAACCGCCAGTTCTACAGCTGGGGGAGATGGAAACCCAAATTTCTGTATTTATGGTATAAATTCCGGATTTTTTTTTTCTTCTGTCAAATACAGAGTCAACAGTTGAACCATATCTGTGCCTTTCAGCCTTAAAAATGCAATGGGTAGACGTGGTTATTTCAGTAGGCTAATGATAAAACCAGATTAGAGTGGCTGCTATAATTGTACTGTGCCAGTTTAAGTCTTTCTCCTCTACTAAAACAATACATAATTGTAATACAGGTTGCATATTGAGATGCTATAGAACT